ATCTTATATACAAATATATATTATTATATATATTTATTATTTGTATATAAATAAAATTCAATATTGTACTCCAATATTGAATTGTAATTTTCATCTATCTTTAAAAACATTTCCAGATGCTGGTATAATATTGTGTGTTTCACAATATTCACAATAAATTTTATAAATATGTGCTTTTAAACTCATTAGGTACCAATATATTTTTTTGATGAAAAACTTCTGCAATGATGTGATAGCTGATAAGTAATGATACCACGTCCCTAAACACGACTCTGGACTCCCTTGATAATGATTTGCGAATCCAAACGGAAAATGTAATACCAACTTAAATAATAGTTCCCTTTGGATTTGGTTACCTTAAATATTCATTACCATCATTATAGCATGAAGTTGAGAATTTCTTATGTGATTCTAAAATTTTTTAAATTCTATTGATATCTAATGACTTTTAACAAGTTCTTATATTATTAAAACTGTTTAGTTTGTTTATCATGTAAATCCTACAAGAATTATGATTTTTTTTTTAAAAATGCATTTTGATTTAACCAAGTATTTCTTTTTTTTTTAATATTTATTTAATAAATAAATTTAAATTTTATAAAAATATTTATATACTTCAAGGTAAAATAATATACTTTATGTACAAAATTAACATTTTTAATGTCTTTTTTTTAAGAAACTATAAAAACATCTGGTGTTATATTAGTCGTTTTTGTATCCTAGCAACCAGTTCAAGTATAGAATAAACAAATAATTAATTATTTAGAAAGCACAAATAATCTGTACTATTTTAGAAATGGCCCCATCAATATATTACCAAGTAATTCTTTATTTTAATTGCTATTATTTTTTATTGTACTATCTAATTGAAATAATAGTTTGTGTTTTGAAAACTTATAAATTGCCATATCCAACCAGGACAGCAGTTGTGGAATGGTTCATTGTCGCATTATTGTATCCAGTACAGAGAAGTCGTATGGCTCTGGGTAGCAAAGGAAACCTTACTGATAAAGCACCACCTATTGTCATATCTTCAATACTTAACATCTCAACAATATTGGGCACACTACATTTAATTAGATGGCAAACTTATGTAATTTATTTAGAAATAATTATTGGATATATTGAATTAACTTTTGAATCAATAAGTTTTGTGTTAGGATTTATTCATTTACTAACTCACAAATCTAATATGTATTAAAATACAACACAACTTATTTTATAAAAGTATGCATACTTACATATAATAATATAGAACATTATTATATAATAATTAAAAAATGAAACAATTTTTTATTTGTATATACTTCAATTAGAATTCCAGAATTTCTTCTTCAGATGATTCTGTAGTTGAATTAGATGAAACTATAGAATTTAAATTACTAATTGAAATACCAACACCACTATCTTCAATAATTTTATTGAAAAGGAGTTCTTGTAATTCTTTTACTTTTTCCTTGATCTGTCTATTACATGCATGGAAAATTGCATTTAATTCATAGTTGGCTCTCTTAACTAAAGCTGTATGTAAGGTAAGTAAATGAACATTTTCAACTAAACATTTAAAATCAGGACTATTATTAGCAAAATTCTTCTCAAATTCTGTTAATCCTTCACAAGCAGTTTGCCAATCAATTTGTATTTTGATTTTACGCAATTTCCTAAAAATAACATCAGCATTAACACAAATAATACACAATATTATAATAATTTTATATACATACTCTTTTAAAAGAATGTATTCTTCTTGTTTATCAGATATCAGTTTTGGAATTTCTCGTTTAGAATTCTTGAATTGTTCAGTAGCTCTATAGAAAAATTATTATTTAAGGACCATAGTTATAAATATATAATTCTAACATAATTTTCATTAAGAAAATGTTTTTTCACATATGTAAAAAGAAAATAATTACCTAAGTGGAGTAACCTTGCATTTTCCCCAAAACTTTTAATGTTACCATAATTCTTACTTTTTCACATGTCAGGCTCATATATTTAAAATATAATTTTATTATTTGTTATATTGATTTGTAATATAAATTACATGTTACCATATTTAATGATTATTTAAAAAGGTTGGTTTTTGATTAATCAAAAAGGTTGTTAAATCCTATGTGTTTTAACCAATTAATTATTTACTCACTCAAGCAATATTTTTTTGCCTCGATCACCAAATAATACAGAGTTAGAAATGATGTTTTCTTTTTCGGCGTTTACCCATTTCATGTTCTGAAACAACGCCAATTGCATTTCAGCAGGTTCTGAAAAATGAATATACAATTAAAATTACAAACGAAAATAGTTTTGGTATGAGTTTTATTGGTAACAAACTAAGCATTCAGATAATATATACCTAATTTGATGAAACTAGAACGTCGTTTTGTATAGTCGCTGGACATCGTTTGAGTTTTTCAATCTCAGATTAATAAATTGTAGTATGTAGTATATATTAATAAATCGTACGAAAATACAGTTACACAAAAATTTAAAATTCCCTAAAAATTTTAAAACAGCGTATACTGGTTTTTGTCTTGGAATTGATTGGTGATAATAAATGTGGTAATAATTAACAATAAGTGTTACCATTAAGCAACAGTCATACACATTTGTGTAGTACTATTGAACGACACTGACTCTACGGCAGATTATCACTTTTCACTATCAAGTTTTAATCAAAATTAGTATTTTTATATATCTGTAGTTTAAATATGGGTAACTGTCATAAGCCTATATCATAAAGATATATTATAATTATATATTACAGTATGTAATCAAGGTGGATATATAAAATATACAGTCTGATTGTATATCCACCTTGTATGTAATATACGACTATTATATATTAGTATAGTCTTTATTATCCCATGGTCACAAATGTATGAAACAATTTGTTTTATATATCTGTGGTGTATGCCGTACATGGAAGATCTAAGACCGTAACATCGACCAAGATTATGTTTCTGCTCACCGTTATAAAATAAACCAAGGTTTATGTGTCGTTGATCGCTAGCAAAACATTTATCATAAATACAAAATTAATTTCTTATAAGTTTGGGTTTTTTCCATTTCAGTCATCAACAACAACGTACTCAGGTACTCTTCTAATATTCAGATAAAATATAAGCTGTGAATCTTGTTTGTTCTTTGTTAAGGACGAGCACAAAATGTTATCTTCATCAAGGTCTTACCTTATTGTTAATAATGCTCCTTGGTAAATTTTATTTACAGTGTCACAATATCTGTACAGTTGTACTCTAGTACAGTGCTCATTTTATTTTGGGTTTGGTTTGATATTCAATTGAAACAAACGGACATTTGTTTTGCAATTATATCTGTGGTAAGTTTTTGAATTTATTTTTTCTAAACCCTATCGCGTACATAATTTAATGTAATGTGTTATTAGAAAAATGGATGCAAGCAATGATTATTTATTTGCTCTACAACTACAAAATGATTTAGTCGACCTCACTGATATTGGTGATAATGAACATGTGGATATCACTAAATTTTCACCAGGTGTAAATGCTGCAGTCAATTTGGAAAATCATGAAATCGATGTAAAAAAACAAAAGCGTAGTTGTACCGATATATCATCTCAACCGATAAAACGACCATGCAACAAACTTGTGAAGACTACTGAAGATATAGTTGATATTTCATGGGAAACATTAGACCCTAATCCAGATATACACAGTCTATTTTTGGCATTCAACAAGCAATATTTTTGGGGGACTTTGGAAACAGTCGTTATACAATGGAGCAAGAGGATGACCGTTTGTGCTGGTTTGTGCAGGTATCAAAGAGGATTTTGTTCCATTAGTCTAAGTGAGCCATTGCTAAAACTTAGACCTCGGAAAGATTTAGTTGAAACATTATTACATGAAATGATACATGCATATTTGTTTCTTACTAACAACAAAGATCATAGAGATAGAGATGGACATGGACCAGAATTTTGTAAACATATGTACAGAATAAATGTAGTAGCCGGTACTAAAATATCGATTTATCATGATTTTCATGATGAAGTAAGGTTGTATAAACAACATTGGTGGAAATGTAATGGGCCATGTCAATATAGCAGACCATTTTATGGATTTGTAAAAAGAAGTATGAACCGTGCACCAGGACCAAGCGATAGATGGTGGGCCAATCATCAAGCTATTTGCAGTGGAAGTTTTATTAAAATCAAAGAGCCTGAAGGTTATGGATTGAAAAAAAAATCAACTGTCCCTCCAGTTTCTAAACAATCAGCAGTTAAATATGTTAATAAAATTACTAATTTTATTAAAATATTAGATTCTCCGGAAAAAAAAATCTCCGAAGATAAAGCTAAACTATATTCCAAATCTATTGAAAGTAATCAACAAAAAGTACAACTGAATTCAAATTTAGAAACTATAAAATTAACAGTAGATTCTCCTTTAAAGAATATTTCTGAAAACATTACCAATCAAGATTTATGTCTAGTAAATGATGAAACAACTTTATGTCCTGTATGTAATGATTCTGTGTTAACAGACTGGTTGAATATCCATTTACAAAATTGTAGTCAGTTGAATGAAATGTTTGGCAGTGAAATTGTAGATACATGTAGATGTCCAGCTTGTAATGAAAAAGTTAGTAGAACTTTAATGAATGAACATTTAGATAATTGTAAAATTTTGAATAATGTATTTGAAAATGTTTCTGTGAGTTCACTTGATAATTCTGACTATGTGAACTGTCCAATTTGTGATAAAAAGGTCAAAGAAATGAATATCAATACACATTTAGATGTTTGTATACCAGAGGAATCATCAAATACTGATGTAAAAAATCTAATAAAATGCCCTTGCTGTGAAAATATATTTAGTAGCATAATAGAACTAGATGATCATATTGATAACTGTTTGTTATGAAACACAATGATAATACATCATAATACTTATATTTTACATCTCTTTATAATTTATTCAAATGTATTACATTTATTGATTTTTTTACCATATTTTAAGAAAAGATTTATAATTTTAATGATATATATGATAATGTACAAGTTTAGATTGTTTATTTCAAATATAAATACTAAAGTAAAGATTATATTTGTATTACGACCTCCTATGGGGGGGGGGGGTATTCCAGGAGATTGCACAGAGCCTTAAGGTTTCACTGCTTTAAGCGAAATGTCAACAAATATATCTCTTTTACAAGACTAAAAATTAAAATATAATAATAATAATTAAATTTAATTACATTTAAAAATACTCTAGTTAAGGGCTAGAACAGTGGCGTAAACTGGGCGGTTGCAAATGTGACACTCCACATCTAAAATGCGGTGGTGCAAAGATATGTTTTTGCACCATCAGAAAAAATTGAAAAATTTGAAATTTAGTTATATTTAGTTTATTGGACTAATAATAACTGGACTGGATAACTGTCACAGTTTAAGTTAATAACTTAATCAACAAAGTTTATCCTAAAATCTCTCATCTTTCCAATAAATCTAATGAATGACTCTGTGAATGTACAATTTTGGCCCCTAAAAACGACACCGTCAACATCATAAACAAAAAGTTCTTTCCATGTTCGAAGCTGATAAAAAAAACTATATTTTCATAGATACACTTACTAATCAAGGTGAAGCTATTGATATTCCGACTGAATTTTTTAAATCATTAAATCCATCAGATCTCCCTCACACAAACTTGATTTAAAAATTGGTGCCCATAATATTCTCATACGAAATTTAAATGCTCCCAAATTGTCCAATGGAACGAGATTAAAAATATTATCATTGAAAAAACACCTTATTGAAGCTGAAATTCTTACCGGCTCAGCGAGTGGTCAAATTGTATATATTCCAAGAATATCAATGATAACAAATGAGCATCCCTTCGAATTTAAACGTGTCCAATTTCCTATTAAACTTTGTTTTGCGATGTCAATTAATAAGGCACAAGGACAGGCAATGAAAGTTACAGGAATTGACATCAGCGATCCCTGCTTTACTCGTGGACGATTTGATGTTGCCTACTCCCGCGTGAGCTCAGAAAAAAACTTATACATATATGTCCCTGGTGAAAAAATTTATAATATTGTTTATAAAGAAATATTGGTTAATTGGTTGTTTTTTTTTTTTTTTTTATTAGGAAACTTAGTTAAAACCATTAGTTTCAACAATTATGATAATAATTGGTTGTTATGTAGCATTTTTCCAAAATAATAAAAATTACTTTTCAAAAAACATAGTTTTTTTTTTTTTTTAAGTTTAGTATAAAACACGAGGTATGAGTTTTATTAGTTGTCAGCCTATTTCAATTTAGATATTATGTTTAATTCGCCACTTTCTTCGTCGCATTTTTTATTTTAATGCGCATGCGTTAGCTAAATTTTTATATGCATCAGAGAGTTATCATCTGCATATGTGTATTAGCATTATCAAAATGAAAAATTCGACGAAAGAAAGCGGCTATCTCTATTTTTTCCCTGGGCAACGCCAGGTAATTCAGCTATCTATTTATATGTATGAAAATATACTGCTAGCATAATCGGGCGGAACTCTTTTCGCCCAAAAATGACCTTCCTCTTTTTGCCCACATTCTCTTTTCGACCAAAAATGAAAAAACAGTTTCCTCTTTTCGCCCAAAAATAATTGTATTATTTTCGCCCATAGTTTCACGTTTTACATTTTGGAAACCACTTTCTCAAAATTAATAATTTTTAAAAAATCTTAAATTACGTTTTTGATTGTTATTAATATAGTCAGTTGAGAAAAGTGTATAAAGGTGCCGACTCTTCTATCGAAATATATAGTTTAAAACACTTTAATAAACGTTATTATTACTTAAAAGTCATAATTAATATGAATATTTGTATTATTTTACAACAACAAAACAAACTATTTATTTCAGTAGTAACCTGATCAAATTATTTATTAGTTATTTTACATCGATAACACTATTTTAAATACTTATTTTTAACACTTATTAAATTATTATTAATAATTATATATTTTTTCTATTTTTTTATTTGATTATTATATGATTTTTTTTAAAAATTATTAATTTTGAGACAGTGGTTTCCAAAATTTAAAACGTGAAACCATGGGCGAAAAGAGGAAACTATTTTTTCATTTTTGGTCGAAAAGAGGAAGGTCATTTTTGGGCGAAAGGAGTACAGCCCGCATAATCACAGATAGGTAACAAATTTAAACCACAGTTTGAAACATATAAGTGGTAGGGATTTTTAACGGACTACGGGTTCAGCTATTATATATACTAGACTTGAATTTCACTTTAAAGATGCACAGATTGAGTTGTTACTGGAGTTAACATTGTTTAGACTATCCACTTCGACCAATAATTTTTTTTATTAACAATTTTAATTCTGTTAGTTCCTTAAGACATTGATCACAACCATCATAAAAATACTTAAGAGACCTATTTTTTAAGGAAAGACACAGTATTATAACATAAAATAACAATAATTATTATAATTTTATTAATATTATATAATATACAATATTATTAATATTATATTAATATTATAATCGGTCGGACATTAACCGACAGTTGGCGCACATGATACCGGGATGCAGCACCGGTCGGTACGTCTTGAGGACGTGCGGCACCCACCGGTAGCCTAGCGAGTCGTCATAGGCGCGGTGTTGGTGGACATCGGCGGGCAAGTAGCTGCCCGAACCGTCTACCGAGTTCAGTGCCGGATAGCCGCGTACCATCGTCGCCGTCCGCGACCGTCTGCGGTGCGCGCGCACGAAACCGTACCGTTTGCACCACCTCGGATATTACTGCCGACGCTACCGGTCGGTAGTGGTCTCGAATACACGAACAACGGTGACGACGGTGTCGTCGGTTTGCCGATGAACGAACGGTCACCGACGTCGTCCGGTGTTGTTCGTACGACGGCGGCCGTGGTGGCGCAGTACGGCGTCGGACGCAGTACGTACCACGACCAGGTTGACTGCCGTAGCACCGGCGTACGTGACCGTGTTGGTCAACCGTCGTGGTGTTGGCGCTGGTCCGCAGCCTAGGATGGCGGTACCGTTCCGGTTGACGATGCATCTGCCGTCTCTCGGGTGGTGAATCGTTATACATTTCGACTGACGTGAAACGAACAGAAAAACCTGAAAAAAAAAATGAGAAAATTAATAACAATTATTTATAGTGAAATTCGTGTAATCGGATCACTGTCGAAATGTGTGTTAGCAGTACTGAGTGTATTGACCTAGATGAAGCTATAAAAAAGATTAAAGATAGGAAAATAACTTTAAATAAAGTCGCAGGACAATTGAATATTTGGTCTTCGTGTGGCTTCGATCGATGCAAAATCGGATGTGACGCTATACAGTTTGTTTGCAATGCAGCAGAAATATTATGCGATTCTATACGTCATGGTAACCTAAACTGTACAGATAAATAATTTATAATTATATAATAAATATAATAATTTATTTAATACAGACATATTTTGTTAATTTCAATAAATCTAACATTTTATTCGATTAAGCACCTAAAATAAAAAATGAAACACTCACCAATAATCATTGGCGCAACTAGGGAGGGTGCTTTGGGTCCTTAGCACCCCCTAAGTCAAAATCAGCACCCTCTAAAAAATCGTTTAAAAATGTAATAAAAAAGTTGAATATTTATCGAATTACAATTATAACATAATAGTAATTTTTGTAATATAACATTTTGTTATTTATAATGTTGAATTGGATGTGTTGATTTTAATTTAGTAAAGATAAGGATGCCGGAGCGGTCAATTTATTTTAAATAGTCTGTGCTAAATATATCTATATGGTATATTAGTGCCTAACATACTAATATAATCTGGTATTCCCGAGGGACGGAAATAGTCTCGTCATTATGACATCTGGCATACGGGTGATACGCCGATATACCACAACAAACACAGCACAATCTACTAGGATACTAAGATTTATAATAAATCGTCTTAGGTTACAGTGTTTGTAGGTAACTCAAAACACTACATTTACGTATTACGTATGTTGTGTTAGAGACATTTCTAAGTTTCTTATATTATTATTTATGATTGCTAATAATAATATATCGATCGATATATTAAAAAATCTGGAGCTTAAGCACCCCCTAGTTCAAATGTCTAGTTGCGCCAATGCCAATAATAAATCATTTTTAGCTATTGTAAAACAACCAATGTATTATTTGAAATTTATTATCACTTACCACCACTGGTCTTGGTAAAAAGGACCAAATTGACTTAAAAAAATGTCGGTTTATCCAACTCTGTTGTTAAAGGAAATGTTGCTACTTAAAAAAAATGCAAATGCCTCAATAAAAGAGTTAAAAATTTGAAAACTATCGAAAAATGTGTATTTAGGCATTCCCTATCTCCTCCCGAAAACCGCATATCAATCCGATGCCACTGGACAGAATAATTTAGTGTTATCTCTAAATCACACTGTATATTTATACGCAAGCCATATTGGCTTGTAAATATAATTTGCACTGGCTCCTGATCTAACTGAAGTTTTTTTTATACGCAAATGGCCCTTAAATGTAGCCATTATCGAGTTTTTTTCTTTAACTCGGTTACTGAACGTTTCAGTTTTTCGTATAATCGAACCCATGTCATCACTGATTTGTTTTCTGTTCTTATGGTACGAATGCTTCAGGTCCCATATTACGTGTTAATTTTGATATAGCTCCAAAAACTTAAATGTGAATTTATTGCACCAATCACAAATGACGAAAAGCACAATGACAAAAACAGCGATGAATATGCAAAATGCACGATTATGAACAGGGGTTCTCTGCTCGCGTATCGATTGCCCTCAGTCCTTTGACTAGGGCACAAAAACCGCCTTTCAACCGCGTGCTGTCAAGGCGTGCGAGGCAAGGCAAGGTCTAGTTCACTCTTGCAGTCAGCTGCTCTCGCAATGTCTCGGCGAATGTGTACTGCCGGCATAAGACCCATTACTATTTCGGTTGTATAATTAATTGTTTTTATTAATATCGATTTCCTACATACAAATAAATAATTAAGATTTTTTTTTTATAACAACTTGTTAACTTTGTATATTGGTTAACTACAAAATACCAGGAATATTATTTAGTATATATAATGTCAAAAACAAATATTTTAGAAAGATCTCTTTTTGAGCTTAGTATAAACAAATAGCTTTAACTAAATATTCCAGTACAAATAAATACTGTATATCTATAACATTATTATTATTATTTTTTTTTTTTACAAATTACAAACATAATACTATACATTTTATTTTAACAAAGAATAAATACACAAAAGTATACTTTGTCCATGAATGTAACTACATGAAAACGAATTACAAATTATAAGTAGTTGCCCTAATATAGCTACATAAATTGTATAAAGGCCGGAAAAATAGTTACATTTTAATCTTAATTATTAAATAGATCATATATATATATATATAATATGTAATGGTGTACTTCTATTTCAAATGTAGATTGTGAATAATTTTTACACTAAAAGTAAAAGATTCTCCACTTTGAGTACATAAAAATTTATAGAAGAATGATAATTAGTAGCAAAGATCACATCATTTGATAAAGTTAATTTATTACTTAAAGGTGTGATGACAAAAATAAGAAATTTAATTTAAAATGATGTAGGTAAATTAAAAATGAAAACAATTAATTTCTCTTATCTTAATGATATGATCAATAATAACAATTCATATTTTATAATGTAAATTAACATTTATAACATAAGATATGCCATTTTTTCATTAATCAGAAAAAAAGAATGTACAGCATTTTATTATATTTCTGTTTTTTAAACAATTTATTCAATAGAGCTAACATTAATACTCAAAGTAATTAATAGGCAAAAATAACAAAACAATAATAAAAAAAAAATTCAGAAATTGTTTTCTTTTCTTAAAATAATGGTCCAAAATTTCAAATACAGTAAAATAATATATTAAATGTATAAATAAAGTCACTATAAATAAATTTATTTATAATGTGCTCATGTTTCTATTGTGATATTTAATATAGACAATTTAATGGTGTGAATATATATATGTGTGTGTGTGTGTGTTAACATTTTCTTTTGAATATATGCAATTTAAAAATTGTATTTTATATTACACTAAAGTTATACTGTATATTATATAACATTATAAGTATAATTTTACAGTTTAAATTAATTATTGTTCTAATTATTATTCTTAATTTGCTTTAGATATATAATACTTAGAAAATCAGTTATTCTTTTAATTTTAAACAATTATATTAGTATAATTAAGTAGTTATACTAGGCAATAATTTTATATCTGATGCTCTTTTTCTAAGTTTATAACTATAATTAATTTTGGCTTAATATTTTTTTATAATTAATTTAATTTTTATAATATATATAAATGTATGGTATGTAATAATAATTAATGGGTCATTTTATTTAAAAAATAAAAATAAAATAAATAGGAACTAAAATTATTCAATGCTAATAATTTTTTATAAATTGCTTATACTCAACAATTGACAATATAGGTTTTTATAGTAACTGTAAATTATTTATTACATAAAATAGTTAAAATATTTAATTAAAAATAAACAAATAGACCATCTAGTACAGTATACATCGTTTATAAAAACCTTCAGACTTTAAGTGACTTTGTACAATTGTTGTTTAAATCATTCTAATAAAATAATAAATGCTATTTTCTTTCATTTAAAATTAATTAAAATATACAAAAAAAAACTTTATTTAATTAAAAATAATGAGACATAATAAAAATTGATTTCTTTTTACTACTTATTATTATAAGTAAGCATTTATTTATAGTTAATAAACAAACAAGACCATAGTACTGTACTATTGAGAATTAAATCAATGCTATGAATATAACAGATTTATTAAAACAATCTAGACTGTATTTAACAATCAATGTCAATTATAAATATAGTAATGTAATGTTAAAAATATATTATATGTAAATTTGTTCTTTTAAGTAAATGAGAAAAATAATAATAAAATAATGCTGATAAGCAATAATCTTTAACAAAAAAAAAAAATAAATAAATAAATAAATAAATAAAGAAAGGAAGGATGATAATTTAAATTATAAAATTTTAGTTAGAAAATAAATCTCAAAAAATTTAATTTTTGAAAAAATGACTAGATATTTACTAAAATCTATTTGATCATTTTACAATATTAAAATTTGATCTAATTTAATTATTTATAATAATTATACCCAAATGAGATATTCCAATAATAAACAATATAGTTTTCAAAAATTAATAGGATGTTATTATTTCATCTTGTTTTACTTGTTAGGAGATAAAATAATTACTTTTTCTTTTGAAAAATTGGATGACCATTGGATTACCACTGAAAATATTCTGGACAGTTCAAAATGACATTTTTATAATTCAAAATGCTCACAAAATTAATAGGGTTTTAAAATGTTATAAAATTATATGATTAAATTTTTGTAACCATTTCAAATATATTATAAATATTTTATATGAAATCTAAAATATTACTTTCATACATTTTGCTATAAATTAACTAAATATAGTATACATTTTTAACAATTACCTATATTTATTGTGAACATTTTGAGCATTCAACATGTTTAGTAATTGTATGATAAATCCATTAGAAGTTTTGCTTTTTAACAGAAGTTATTTTTCAGAATTTCTACAAAGTTGATCTGTTTATGTGGTACTATGGCATTAAATATAAATGTACAATCTATCCAATATGTTGGGTGTTTAATATGAAATCTACATTTACATTTAATAAATGAAACAGAAAAAAGTATAAATATGATAAATATATTAATTAATTAATATACAAAAAAACTCTTGTGTTATTGGTTTTTAATAACTTCAATAAATGGTTTTATCAATGATGAATCAATGGACGATTATGTTTTAAATTATATTTTTGAAAACTTTTCTAGTATATTAACATTATACTCAAACATTACACATTTTTAATAAAAAAAAAAAAAAAAAAAAATGTGTATAATACTTTGAAATTGATAAATATAATTAGAATAAGAGTAAGTCAGCATCAATAATAGGTTATATACTTTACCAATGTCTGTTTTTTTTTTTACTAGCACTTTTCAATAAAATGTTTTGGAGAAATTTTATAGATTTTTATTTAAGTTTTATTTGGGAAGGTGAAAATGCTACATTGTAAAATTAATAGATTTTTGTATACCTAACTATTACTTAGAATCTAATATTGCTATGTAAATTTCAAAACAAATTTACAAATTAACATTTTTAAATCTAACTTTTACGTAGTTTTTTTACTTCCTCTAGGTTTAATGCTTTCACTTATCTGCCACATGGCTTCTTCACATAAAAATTCATCAAAATTGTTAAAGAAAGCAATAATATGATCATGCTTTTTAAAATTGTAACACCTAAAACATATTTGATGATTTAAATATACCATACATACATATATATATATATATATTTACCCTTTTTTAAATTTTTTCATATTTTCAACAATATTAAACTGTTGCCATCGTTTGGAAAAATTTATAATATTATCTGATATATAATCATTGTTGCCAATATGTACAAATGTTAAATCTTGTAAAACTAGTCCTCTGAAATAAAATGTATAAAAGTAAATCATCAATAAATTAAATTTTAGATAAGTATATAATTATGAAGGCTAAAGAGTGTTTTCATAACATTCATTAATTTTTATATAAGAAAAATATATTTAAGAAAATTTATTTTGTGAGAAACAATTAATCAAAATAATTTGTTGAAAAATCGTATTTTATCTATATATATATGTAAAAGTATTGTTAAAATTAGGATAATGTCAACATTAGATATGCATTTTAGTGAATGATTCTTTAATGATAAAAATGAAATATCTACATTATTTGGATAATATTAAAAGTTATTTATTAAATATCATGTAACAATTCTTGTTGGCACTGTGTACAACATTATCTCAATAATAAAATATCAAACTGCCAGAGTATAATAATTAATAACTTATCTTCGTGATGTTAGATAGTTAAAAAATAACATGGGTTTAAATCAAACTAAATACTAATTCCAGTGATTTTTTTTTTCTAAAATCTAAAAGCATTAAAGTGTTCAAGATTTTTAAATTCTATGCTATAAAATCAAAACAAAAATTTATAATTTATCTAAAAAATAGTCTTCAAAATTAGAAAGATGATTCATCATATTTATCTAAAAAAAAAAGTAAATGTATAAATTATAAATTCTTTACTCAATTTAATGTTGTGTTATTAGAACATACTTAAAAACTATTCATAATTTACAATTTACACTTATTATTTATTAAATAATTTGTCTTTTAGGATAATTATTAATAATTTTCTTACATATATTTTGATATTTGTTGTTATAAATTTAAACTATTTTATGAATATTTTTTTTTTTTTGTTAAGATTTAATCAAAAGGTTTTTGGCTAATGCTTACATCAATCAAATTCAAAAAATATTCTTGGTAGCTTATGATAACAATGTTGTATTATCTGGTATATTTTGACATAATCCAAATATTAATAATACCAGATACTTATAATATTTAAAAAAATATTATCTAATAATTATTATATTATTAATCAATTTAATAAAATTGAAACTTTTTAATTCATAATAACATTAAAATGTGATATACAAATATATAATATGATTTATATTATATATATTTATCTATTAATTTAAAGTTCATAAATCAATATTAGAGTATATGGGATCAATTGTAATATATAACTAGTATAGTTTAGCTTACATATAAGGGATGCAAGGTGGATTTGTTTCAGCTAAAGCTTGTCTATAAGCTCGAAAACTGGAAGAGCTATCAATTAAAGCACAGTATTCTTTTAAGCCTTCAGTAATATATTTTTGCCATTCAAGACGTCTAATTGGTGCACTATCCAAAGCAGATAAAAGAGCTAAATATGAATTAAAATTATTCATCTTTCTTAAACTCTTCATTATTTTAATGAATTTTAAAACATAACGTTCACGATCCTTAGCTTCATTTTGTTCTAGTATTCGTGATCTTGCCCTAAAAATATTAAACGTTGCATAAATAAATATATATTTGTATCATTCTTTTTTTAATAGTGCATACCAATAGGACATTTTATTAAAATGCTCAGTAAATTCAGTAAGATTTGGACTACGCTCTTCATTTTGTTCTTTGACCCAAATAAGAACTTCAGGTATTTCAATTTTCATAAACAGTTCTGAATCTAACATGGTCATTTGTTCAGCAATAAGTTCGGTTTTGTAGTCTAATAAAGTGGCTTGACGAGTATATATGTTTTGAGATGGTAATAATGCATTTATTGAAGTATTATGCATCATTTTTGCTTGATATCTTTCTAAAAGTTTAACTCTAAGAGCTTTAGCCATTGTTAAGTCTCCAGCACATAATAACTGATATACAAATTCCATAAGAATTTGCAGTACTTCATTGTCCAAGTCAGTCAAACTGTAATTAATGAGATTAATTTTTAAATAAAATTTTATAATTTTTAAATTAGTTACTTACGTTAAATCACTAACTACTCTAACTAACAAAGAAAATGATTCTCGTCCAGCTCTTTGCCTATTTAAATCGCCAGAATTTTGAAACCTTTGGTGTCTTAAGCACAGTTTTTGTATTAACTCTAAAGGTGATATAAAGGTTCTATATGTTGTTAAAAATGCTTCTTGATACATGAAATCTAAAAAAAAAAAAAAATAAAAAAAAAATACTTATAAACTATTTAAAAATTGTACCATTTTTAACAGCATTTGCGGCATGAACAACAAGAGCATCTGCATGTCCACCACGAACAAGAGGTCCATCTTCCTCTGGTTTTTTAAATACAAGCCATTGACAAACATTTAATTCTTCCATTATGTTGGTTTCACAAACATCAGTTTGAGGATTTTCAATAATATTTGGTGTGACATCCCTATCAGTTTTAAATTAAATTTAATAATTTTAAATGAAACAGCTTTTTTTTCTTCTTAATACAGAAGTCTTAATAATTCCAAACATAAGGAACCATAATACTACAAGATAATTAATAAAATTCATCTTGATTTTCTACATCCCTTATGTACACATTAACAGCCCTCATATCATTCTCAATTTTATCCACCTATTTTTTTTTTAGTCTTCCTCTTCCTCTTTTCCCTTCAGAGTTCATTTTCATAACAATTCTTTACTGTATTTGTTTCCTCTCGTCTCATCACATGTCCAAACCATCTCAGTCTATTTTCTCTCATCTTGTTTACTATAGATACTACATCAATACTACCTCTCACATATTCATTCTTTATTTCGTCTTTTCTTGTTACTCTACCAATCCATCTAAGCATTTTCAATTCCGCAAAACTCATACTATGTTCTATTTTTCTGTCAATCGCCCAACACTCCAAACCATATTTAGTCAGTCTCATTATATTTCTGTACAATTTATCAGTTATACAACATATGCATATAAATATTAAAAGTATACGTACTGGATTTCTAAACATTGATCTTGAATTGGAGTTGAGTTAACTTCTGTTATATATATTTTACTTGGTGAACTAGGTGGTGTCAATTCTCTATAAGATGACATTATCTTACCTCGTTTAGGTGGTAAAGCTGGTGGATCAGACTCACTGTAATTATAAAATATTTACGAACATTCATTTAATTAGGTTTTTAGTTATAATCATACTTAGCAAAATAATACTGCTGACAAGAATTTTCAACACTAAAACTTTGAATTTCATTCTGATATTTTTGAGGTGAATGCCAATTACTCTGATGAAGCATTGTATATGTATGAACAGAATGTCGCAAAAATTCTGTAGTATTTCCATGTGTACAATTGCCAAACATCTCCATGTAAGCCATTACTATAACATTTATTAAATTATTATTATTGTACATATTAAATATATGTTAAAATAAAGTAAAAATTCTAAATACACTCTTCAAACCATTTTCAAATTAAAATAGACATAGTTTATTCTAACTAAATAATAATTAACATGCAAAAAACCTAAATGTCATAACATCTTACCAGAGTAGGCCACCGAATGAAACACTAAAGAAAAATAAATTATTAACTAAAAATTGTTTAATGATACACAAGACTTAAATAAAAATAAAATTATGACAATAAAGTATGTGAGCATTAAATTGACCTTCATGCTGAATAATTTTTCAAATACAGTGGAATCTCAATAATTCCATAGACATCTGATCAGAGGATTGTCGGATTAACGAGAACGCCGGATTAATGGAGTTTCACATAAAAACGTATATTTACTTATTGAATAACTTTATTTTATTAAAAATCATAAATAATACATAAGTACATACCAATTTATGACCTACTGTGAATTAATTTTTTGACGGTACAGTTTAAAATATATATACATTTGTTTTTGTTTTTAATGATGCTTTTAAGATAAAATACTGCCAGATTACTGGACATAATGGATTACCAAATAGCCGGATTACCAAGAATCTACGGTATATTAAATTAATTTTGACAAAAAAAGTTAAAACTATACAAAAAACATTTGAAGTATTTACACATTTTTTTGAAATTTAATCACCAGTATTCTTGGTTATATATTGTTTAGTATTTTAATTAGTTATTAGATTAATTACCATATGAAACTGATAAACTGTTAATAAAAAAAAAATGTAAGAATTCAGTAGATATAATCCAGTGGTAATCATTACTAGAAATGTTTAATATTTATACAAATTTGATGCAATAAATAGTGTTTATTAATTTATCATAAAAAAATGTTTTTTTATGATTTGATTGTAATTTTATAATTATACAAGCTAGATGTGTACATAGATCGACTATATTTGAGACCTCATAGTCACCTGGTGTTTCTTAATATTATTAAAATATTTATTGCTAAAACAAATTATGAATATTTACTATTAAATATAGATATGTATGAATAGTGTTACGGAATACATAAATGTAGGTTGTTATGACTCTCACTACACAGAGGGACCACATAAATAGTAAATAATAGAAATCAGGTAATCGATAAAAAAAGGAATTATTAGTATAATTACAGGAACCGAGAGTAACACAAACACATACGCAAATGTGAGCTACATTTCAGTCATATTAAAAATGCAATTAATAATAGTGCGCAACAAAATATGGGATATGTGTGAGAAGTAATATTTTGAGATCAACCATCAAAGTAATATATTTGGAAATGCGTGCATTTAATACTTCAGAGTATTAACAATAATTGGAAACAACTTTTATATTATAAAGCCATAATACTCCACACTGATTCCCACAAGACCTGAGTATATAAAGGAGTTGCTAACAGACCAATATTCAGATGTGTTTTAATCCGGTAAAATGAAAGCATCTTCACGCCAGTGAACTTAATATTTTAATATTTGTACTTAAAATTATTTTATGAAATTATGCTAATGAATTGAGAATTTATTTAATAAAGTGAATATTTAAAAGTCTTTAGTTATTTAATTCATCACTACTGATAGTTTAATTAATTAAGAAGCTGTACGATTGTTTTCCTCTCCCATTGCACCAGTCTGTACACTCAGACTGGGACGCAACAGTAGAATATTTGATTAATTAATATATTTACCTATTATACATATATTATATTTTATTTTTTCATCATCTCTTAAATATTAAACATTCATAAGCACTTAAATAAAATAATTAGCCAGTTAGTAACTATATTATGCTAACCATTAAGCTTAGAAAAGAAACAAAGAAGAAAAGTACAAAAATTGTTAGATTTTTTTTTTTTAGTAATCCTCATGTTATTCAATATATATTTATAAGTCACATTTTTTAAAAAAGAGATTATAAAAATCATTATTCAATGATAAGATATTTGGATTCAAACCATATATACATTATATGTAACACATTATTGTTATATTATTTAGTCAATCCTTCATAACATTTGATTTGTCCAGCAAATTATGACTAGTCTCAGGAATCAAATATACATACATATTACATAGTAATGGCAAACAAATAATTAGTGTACTTTATTTAAAGTTCAACGAAAACTAAAAATTAGGTTACAGTTTATTTAGAGGTTTAATATCTATTAAAATCTATTTTAAGGGAACAGTTTTTTTTAAAATATTTTAAAAATAATAAAAAACTTGAAACATGATAAATTATTTTATTTTAGATTTGATACACAACTTGACTGTATGTATTAATTATTTATCTTAACTAATAAAATAGTTATAGTGTGACTTACTATGTTTTTTTTTCAATGGCAATGGTGGTGGATTTGAAGGATCAGCAGTAGGGTTATCAAGTGATGCAGTATGTGTTAATGCTTGAATACTACAGTGGCTATTATTCCTATGGAAGTTATATTGTGTGGCCATTTCATCCATTGATAAATTATCATAAGTTGATCGAAGCCTTTGTCTAATTATTCGTTTTTTTTCTGGCACTGGTGGCGGAATCTAATATAATTAAAGTTCACAATTAACTATATACACAAATAATATAACCATAAAATAGATATAATTTTATTTATTTAGTAAAATAACTAATTTCAATTTTAAGTTTTATAAAAACAAATAAATTACCTCATCATTTGACATAGAACAATTGATTTCATTCGTTACTACAGTTTTATTTGTAATTTGATGTATAGTAGTAGATTTGGAATGTGTCCAAACTTGATTAGATGCCTGATGCATAAATGCAGTTTTCTTTTCTACCATAGCTAATAAAGATAAATATAACTTTTATTAGAGATGTATTTCTAGATAATAAGAATAATAAACTTAACTAAAACCAAATATAACTGTAATCCTAACTTACAGGTTTTTAGTTTGAACTTTCAAATTTTTGATTTATTACCCTCCCATTTTTATTATTTGAATAAGAAAACAACTATCATTAAATTTGGTCATGATTACCTATAAATAGTTTAAATAATTACACTTATCAAAAAATATCTATTGGAAATTATAGATATTTATATTGCCAACAAAAAATACATTTATAATACAATATAAGTATTAAACAAAAATCGTTTTTCTTTTAACAAATATAAATAAAAAATTTAATAAAAGTAGTGTTGAATTTATTACCAATAGTTTTCTAGAACATTGCAAAAAAAAAAAAAATTGTTAAAATTAATTAATTAATTATTGAAATTTGAAAATGTTCACTGAATATGCTTCTACCACTTTTTTTTCAAAAGATATTCTTTGCAGCCAATACATTTTCTTTTTTATCAGAAACATAAGTCATAAAAAGTTTAAAAAAATAAAATATTAACAAAATTGGCTATTTCCACAAATTTTGTTTCTCGATATCAGTTAATTGATTGTTATTCTATATATATTAATTATAGCAACTCAAAACATAAAAAATTATACTAATCCAATTAATCTCTTTCACTCACAATAGGTTTTTTAAAGTTAAAAAGACCAATACGGCAATATAATTTGTATCTATATTTCTCATTAGACAGTGGAGCTTCAGCCATTTTCTTAAATGTAAATGCCAATTTAAGAGGATGCTGCACGCCTACATGGGTTTTTTCCATTAACAAATGTACAATGTGGAAAATTCAAATTCAAATATTGTGTTGTTAACTTTAATATCAGGGTATCTATTATCAAACATAAAAAGAAGAATATTTGAGTTTTATTGGTTGGTTTAATATGATATTTTAATTTCTCAGTGAGTTAGGAGGTTATAAAATATTAAAATTAAAAAAAAATCATAGTCCGCTTAAAAATTAAAATATTGAAATAAAAAATAAAAAATAAAATACAAATTTTCCCTTTATGTTTGACTATAGGTCATCAGTTTATTATAATATTAGTACATTTGTAAAATGAAAATAATAAACATGAGTGAATCGCCCTCTTAATACTAATTTATTCATCTTCAAAACCCACAAAAACATTATTTTGGTAGAATGATTTACTATTTATTTACAATTTTATGTTTAGTAATTATTAAAATTTTATATTATTATTTTAAATAGCATTTAAAAAATTTTGTTTCTCGATAATATTATATTATAATCAATGTATAAATTATATTTATTTTATTGAGAGATGAAACAATTATAAAAAAATACTGCAAAATATCCACGAAGTATTTTTATAAAAATGTATAATTATAATTAATAGATCATTAGAAAAATGAAGTAGAAATGTTTTCTCAGAAATATTTTAAGGTGTTTCTTTAAATTATTAAAGAATCACTTACTATGTTGCGGTGGATATTCAGAAAATGGTGATATTCGTTTTTCATTGCCTTGGTCTACAGATGCAGAACTGGAAGAACAGTTACAATAGCCACAAACATGATTGGGATCATCTTCAAATTTAACATACATAATAATTATTATTGTATAACAAATTAATATAGTTATTATTTTTGACTTACTGGTTAAAAATGAACTATCATCATTGCACATAGCAATATTAACTTCATCATCATTTAAAATTGAGTCCAATGAACCAATTGAGGAAGATCGATCAGAAAGGCTCAAAGGTTCCAAAGTTAAGTTATATACATTATGTTTGGTATTGTGTCCAGTACGACGTTTTGGTGGTAATGGGGGAGGAGAAATATTTTGATCAGTCTTTTTTAACCATGTTCTAAATAAACAATTATAAAGAATTTATTAATAATGTTTTCATAATACAAGGTCATACAATTATCCAATTTACCGATCAGGTAATGGAGGTTTTGATGGAGGGACACTGTCAACTGTATCAAAAGAATGATTACTAGTTTGTTCTAATATTTCTCTTTCTCTCGGTGTTAATGGTATATCAGGCAGAGAGACTCTTTGTTTCAGTTCTTCAGGAAGTTTCAATGAATCTTCGTCTTTGTACACAGTTTTATTTACACCATGGTTAAGTTTATCATTGGTTAGTGATACCAAATTCTATTGTTTCACAAAAAATTTAGTTCAGCAGTTATTAATATTAAATATAACTGTGTAAAAACAAAATAAATAAGCAATATAATAATACCTGAATTGCTAAATCAACCAAACGTAGTATGTCTGATACATTTTCTGTATTTATTGCTTTTTCACCAAATATAAGAACATCATCACAAAGTTTAATGAGCTGTGCTACACTTTGGTATACTTGATTTAAAGCAGAAACAACTAGTGAACTTTGCTCATTAATGTCATATGATTTAAACACTCCACAAATTGATGTCACCGTTTCTAAAACTACTGTTCCATTTCCTGGTAACATTTCTAATTTATTTTTTGTTATTACATCAAGGAAATGTTTCAAAGCTATCTGAACCTAAAATTGTTTATAATACATGTTATTATATTTACATTGAAGAAGTAAAATGATAATATTTATATAAAATAAAATAAAAATAAATGATATATACATTATTATAACTTACTTGTCTAACATGAAAGTCAATGTCATTAAGGGAACGTTTAGGGCTACTTCCTGACGAAGCATGTCTTTGTTTTGGCAAACCATTTTTAGGTGATCCACTTCTGGAACTGATGGCACTATGACTAGGTGATCGCATGGCTGATGATATAATATCCAATAAATCTTCTTTAAAAGAACGAGCTCTTCTCGCAAATTTATTTCCACTACCAATGTTATTATTCCATTTTTTGTACTTTTCACCTGGAACAACTCCTTAAAAATAATGATAAAAATCGATGAGCATTGATAAAACCGTTTAGAAACTAAGTAAATGCTGAGCACGTACGCACGTATTAATTAATATTATATACTGCTGTTATTAGAAAAACTGTAAAGCAACGTAACAAATATAGATAAAAAGTCTAAAAATAGAAATTACATTAACAAATGGAGTGGGGTGAAATACAGTGGTATACCTTTCGCACTTGAGACCTGAGTCAGTCTAGACATTAACTAGTCAACTGAGTTTAACAACAAAAATATTTAGTATGTACGAATGTACGAATGTAAATGAAAACAGTTAACAATAATATGTAGTACATATTTGATCATTACGTCACGTTTACGATGATATCAATGATCAAGGTTACTGATTATTGTCCATATTTCATCACTAGTTTTAGTTAAATAGAGACAGGATGCACATGTATGTGATTAAAAAATAATTATTAAAAGGATCTTATTTGTTACTAAACAACTACGCTGATTTATAAAACAATAATAATGTAAAATTATAATCCAAAACGTAGGTATTACATTTTTAAATAATAATAATTGCCACACAAAATTATTGGATTCTTGGCAAATATTTTTTTAAAAAAAATATTTAATAAAACTTAAGTGATTTTATAGCTAACCACAAACATTTTTCTTTTATAAACATGACCTTTCTTACCATTTTTAATTTCTAGTTCACTTAAGTTGAAAATATTTAATTTTAAGAATGTTATTAATATAATGTAAATAAAAAATTATGAAAATATCTAAACAAGAATTTTGCTTTTTTTTCAAAGTACATTTGTAATGCATTTTTGTTAAACATTTCATTTTTGAATTCATATGCATAATTTAAACTTAGTTTAATATTTTAAAATGTAGTTTTAACCTTTTTTATTATTTTTATTTTTCTATGTAGCTTAGAAGTGCCTTTACATAAAATGTCAGATGTACACTAATTAAACCAATGCTTGGAATCAGTGCTGTAAAAACTGGGTGTGCAGAGTGTGCATTGCATGCAGGCCCTGGGCCTCGTTCCACATAATGGAACCTCAATAGATCAAATGCTCAAAAATGTAAAACGATAAAGGGCCTCAAGATTTTGATTTGCTCATAGGCCTCTCAGTTACGGCACTGGCTGGAATGTAATCAACAATTCATTTTATTTCGATTTAAAGTCCTTAAAAGTAATATTTATTTTAAATTTAATAAAACAAGATAGATATGATGATTAAATATTATTATTCAAAATTATAACATTCTTTTCATATTAATCATTAATCATTAATCATTTTAGTTTTTGAGAAAACATTTTTTGAATTTAAATTTAAATTTGCATCATATTATCTATTTATTTGTAGAAAATCACTTAAAGCTGGTTTACTCCAAGAAATCGATATTTGTCTCTATCTATTAAAGATTCATATAACCAACATATCTGTAACAATAAACAGTACCTTAGCCACTTATGCAGATGACACTGAAATACTCAGTGTTAAAAATGACTGTTAAAACATCCAAATTATTACAAATTTATTTCGACTGAATTGAAAATGTAGCAACTTAGAGTCAAATAAATATAAATCCAGACAAATCTTTATATGTGCTGTTCACGTTAAAAGGAATCAACCCTTTACTAACAGCTGACTACATCTATTTCGTCAAATTTTAAAATTTAAGCTTCGAATACCATACAAACATTTAAGTTGATTACTCTCTGGCTTTAAAATTAATAAAGTTAACCAATTAGTCATCAAATAGAACATTTTATTCTTAACTACAAACCCAAGATAATAACCCACTAATATTTCATCGAACACGACCCATAAATCCTATCCATTATTTTTAAAAAAAACACTTGGAGACTTAAATATTAAAATATTACCTCATATTATTCAGTTTTAAAGTATATCAGATAATTATTATACATTGTAAAAAGGTAGCACAGATTTTAAATAGTCTTTAAATAAAAATTAATAATTAAAAACAAAATATTGAACATTTATTTTAATAAAATATTTACTTTTTTTAAGTAATTATTTTTGATAAATGTGGATAACGATCTTTTTAAAGTATTATCTATTTAAAAATTATAATTTATTGGTAGATATATAAATAAATATACTTAAAACATTAATATTGAAAATGAATAATTAAATGATAATAAAGAATTAAACTTAAAAAAAAAAAATCAGTTTAACTCAAAACCTCAAATAACTATCTATTTAAATATAACATTTAATTTGGAGTGATTGAATATAAAACATAATATAAAACAAATTTTATAAAACTTATTTTCAATAATTAAAATAATAATATTCTAAATAAATAAATTTTAGTTAATTGTAGATAATAAGTTGGGCTCGGGACTTCTAGGAGTTTGCATGTTTTTAAATAATTATCAAAAACACAGCTAAGTAATAAATAAATTTGTTTCATAGCAATACAAGTTAATACTTAAAATTTATAGATGCATATTTTGCACATTTGACAATGTTTCATTTATAAGTGCATATTTGACCATTTTTTATTTTATAAGTTCATATTTGACAATTATTTATATGAAGCAGTAAGTTTTTTAATTTTATAAAAAAAAATTATGGATTTATTTTTTAATATATCATTCGACTTGGAACTCAAGGTGTCTTATTAGGGCACTAACTGAATGCATTAAAATAATTAAAACTAAAAAAGAACATATAAATTCTGCAAAAATTGAAGGATATAAGCTAAGGCAATTGATGACAAAATTAATAAAAGTTTTGATTTGATTAACTACAAAAATTATCAAACATTTTAAATGGAAAAAATGAATCTATGGATGGATTATTAGTATATTAGTAGATATTAGTAGTAGTAACCTACCAATTTTTAAGTTTATACCAATTAGTTCCGTAGACGTAGAACATTCCTTTTCTAAATATAAAAATATTTTGACTGATAACAGCCGGTCATTTAAATTTCCCATCTTACGAAAATATCTTATAATCCAATGTAATGCTCAAAGTAATTATAACTATATTAAAAATAGAAAAAATCTTTTTAATTTAATTTATTTTTAAAACCATTTTAAATTTTTTGTTTTAGACAAAAACTCATAATAAGATGAAAATAAATTTAAAAAAAAAAAATAACTATCTCAGATCATCATATCTATCATAACTAAAAATATTATTATTTATGACTAATTACATTTTTTTATTTAATTAATTATTACAGTTATAATTTTTTTTAAATGTATATTTTAATAGCATATTTAATGATTCTCTAGGACATAAATGAATATATATATTTTAAGGTTTTTAAGGGCATAAAATTCCTAGCCGTAATAATAAGCAATAAATATTATTATTCCAGATATTTTATGTATAATTATTACATAGGATTATAATTTATAGCAATGACTCAATAATAATTTGTATAACTCAAGAAACTAGAAGATAAATTTAAATTCAATAAACTAGTTGATTCAGTATGTAAAATTAAAATATAAAATTTATTTTTAAATGTACTTACTGAAAAAAAGTAATACTCAATACTTATGCATATATTTTTATAAAAGTCGGTATTTGAATATGTATTACAATTAACATTTTAGTTAAAATTTAAACATATATTAATTAATGTCTTAATCAGATTTATCTTAACAAATTACATTTTCTTTCACACTCATTCACTTTCTGAATGAACATGGATATATATCATTAAAAAATTTTAAAACATTAATTTATATTTCTTAAAACAAATGAATAAAGAACAAATAAAAATATTGTGAAATGATTAGCTTCAATTATTTTTTGGTATTGCAGTCAAACTTTTTCGTATGTTATTAGTTCCTGGATGGACGACCATAGGCATAAACTGGGGGGCAAGGGGGCAATTGTCCCCCTAGAATAAATTAGGAAGGGCAGTGCCCCATCTAATTTTTAACATAAGTACAAAACAGTAGGTAATAGCTATTACTATAACATTTTTTTTTTTTAATTTATCTTAATTTTAAATGTTCGCTTATCTAACATAAAGTTAGAAAATGAATAATTTTATATAATATGTAGATAGTAAAGCATTGTTTAGCCTCGGACACCCTTTTCGTTAGATATGTTATTATATTTTTGCCTACCTCCCCTAATAAATTTCCAAGGTTCGCCTATGTGGACGACTATCCAAAAATGTAATAATAAAGCCACTACTCCACACTAAGTACTTTAATCAACTAATTATCCAATAAAGTTTTATTATCCAACAGTTTTCCTATAATAATAAAAGGCCAAATTTTTTATGGCTTAAATGAAAAATAAATTGATCATGAAACATGTATTGATAAGTAAAAAAGTATAACTAAGCAATATTTTTCTAATGAATTTTTTATTAAAGTTAGAAATTAGCAAAATAATTATATATATACAAGTAATATAAGAATCAATAAAATATTAATTTTATTGTAATTTTCTATTTATCTGATTTTAAATTGGTAAACTTCTGAATGTTTTTTAACATAAAATATTTAATATTTATATGTAATTAATATATTTCTCAAAAGCAATTTATTAATCTATTTACAAAAGAACTAACCACCTGTAAGAAAATTTTACATTATCTTTACTCAGTAATAAATTAAAAAATGTATGATAAATAGTTAATAATTATTTGTCATCTTTCTTAAAATCACTTAAAATAAAAAATTCATATTTAAATTTTTAAAAACCACTTCTAAGCATAAAATGTATAATTAGAATAACATTGCTGAGTCCATCAAATCATAGAATAAAAGATAAATAGGATCTAGTTAAATTTTTTACAAAAGATTATAGTATTATAATTTATCACTTACTTTATGATTTTTATTATTTAATTCTTATGTTAAATATAATCTAATTATGATATATATTTATACATAAAATTTACCATTTTACCAAGTACATTTTTAATATTTGATGCATAATATTAGTATTATATTAAAATAAGAGTTTTATAAAATGTTTAATGCTACTGCAGTAAAACTAAAATGAGTAAATAATAAAGTGTTTTTGGCTGTTTAACTAAATACATCATGTAATGTCTTAAGATACTTTGTTTTCCATTTGATATAGGAGAAAATCAAAAACTATAAATTTGAATAAAGTGACTATATATATTAAAAAATAAGAATTTGATTGTTTAATAAATAAATAATTTGTTGAGTTAAAATTTAATCAAGTTTTCACTTTAGTTACCATTAGAAAAAGCATCCAACAACAATCTACAATGTTTACATGTGTGGTAATTAAACATATAAATACTTACTACATTGCTCAGTTTCATCATCTTTATCAGAATCATGTTTATTTGTTGAAGACATATTGTTATTAACCAATCATACAACGAAACAAACCATAACTGAATGCAATGCATTGTTGATCATGTTTTTTGTTGTTTGAATGCAACATGATCAATCAATTATCTGTTGATCATTTTAAATTGGATGAATTTTCGTTATGTTAAAAAGTCTAATTACATAACTAATGAGTTATAATGTAATTATATGTGCAGTTAAACTGTAAAACGACTACACTAACCATGGCTGATTATGCTTAAGCACTGGAAGTTGAATGTTTATTCGGCTCAACCTGATGTAAAAAGTTCCATCGTAAATGTGTAGATTTAGGTAGGTTTTCCATTATTTAAATGTATACTATAACAAAATATAGTTTATTATATTGAACAGGTTCTTAATTCAAAATATTTATTTGAGAAAAGTTGTGGAATTGGTTGGCGTTTAAAAACTTTTTATCAAGCGGTATCATAGAAATTTGAGATACCGAGGTACCACAAACAATTTCCGATATGTCTTGCCCAATCACTATATTTTGTTATCAGATATATCTATACATAATTGCTTATACTGGTTACCGTCTATACCATAGAGTACTCTATGGTCTATACCATAGATAATGTTTATAAACACTATTATGCGCATATCTAGTTTATATTGTGTTTACATTAAAACAATTTTAAATGCCGGATAGGTAACTAAGAATTGTAATTTCAATTTGTATTGTTTAGATTAATTTGCATTAGTTTTCTTTTGATATAATATTAAATTATTAATACTCTATTGATTTTATTCGTTTTGTTATTGAAATTATTCTGTAATTTATTAATTTATTGATTTGTAATTATTTCATTAATGCAGAACGAAGATATTAATTTCTTACCAAAATCAGGTACTTAATAACAATTATTTTAGTTTATCTACTATATCATTATTGTATTATTAATTGTAAAAACTGTATGAAATGTGCATATTTCATACTTGACAGTATAATTTGTGCGATGTACTTAAAGAGTATTGAAGTAATTGTAGCTTTTAGTTCCTACTTGTTTTGAATATGTCTTACTATTGAATATTTGAATATAAGATCAAAGAATAATAAATATTAGTCCGAAATATTTTTTAACTAATTTAACTAATTAATTATACAAACATTATTATACTTTAAATTTGCTAATTCTTTATGTTTAGTATAGTTTTGTTGATTTAATTTTGGGGTAAAATCTTTAATCTAAAAATCCTTTAATCATTCCAATCAATAAAACTTCAACTCCTCACTAATGTCCTATGGTATGTTAGTTATAGCACTGATTAAGCATACTAAATCAATGATTCTTCATCATGGTAGGTATTATCCACAGGCATCGTGTAATTATGATAAATTCTACAAAAACGTCCTAAATTAATCTAAGTTTCTAGTCGTTAACCTAGCATTAACCACACTACCTGACAACCCTTCCTTCAGACAAAAATAATCATATGATTTTATCACTAATACAAACTGATTTAAGTTCATATTGGAAGTAGTATCAATGAACACTCCTTTCTTTTATACTGTCCAGCTTAGTTAAAAAATGTTCAACACGATTAACCATTGTATTATATTTGTATATAGATTGTAAATTATTCTAAATTTAGACTAAATAAAAAATAAATATATTGTTGTAATGTTCTAATTTATGTAGCTGATAGGTATTTGTATGAATTTTAATTTTTTTGTAAGTAGTTAAGGTTATGTCATATAGTTTTTTTTTTATTATGAATATACCTATGAGTAAAAGTTTACCTATTCTATTATTTTATATTTCAAACTGTTGATCTTACTTTGATAATTATAGTTAATATGTTTTAGTATAAAACAATTACTTTGTAATTAGTCTTAAAGTGTAGTGAATTAATCTAAATTATATATATTTAATGAAAAATATAATCTTCAAGATTATTCTAGTTCTAATTTTTATTTAATTACTTAACAAGCTTTAGAAACATTTTTAATAGTAAAATGTATATCAGGGTTCAAGAAACTGCTGTTCTGATACCAGTATCATATTAAGACCTGTAATATAAATATTAATTTGATCATCATGTTAAGAGTACTCTATAGATAAATAATTAAATATTAGTTGATTTCTATACTATAGTATGTTTTTTTGATTTTAATTTACTAACTTATTTACTTCATTAAACATTAGGCTTTAAATATTTCTTAGCTCTTTAATGGGAGTAAAATTAGAGGCACTTTGTAATTTTCAATGCTACAGTATTTACCAGTGCTGTCTAGAGGCATGGGTTTAAAGCAGGGACAGGAACTGAACCGAAAAGAACCGATTCTGGAACTGGAACCTTTTAAATAATTGGAACCGAAACCTTTATTTTGATAAATGAAGTACTGGAACCGAACTGGAATATTTAAATTATAAAGGTTCTTTTAGGTTCCAAAATTAAATAGTTTTATTTAGCATAGATTATTTGTAGTTACTACTTTGTTTATAAATAATCAGGGATCTATTCTTATTATGTTTATACCTAGAACTATACAAAGTACTTATCCTTATTTTTTACCTATTTAAAATGATAATTTTGAAGTGTTTATTACGTGTATATTTATCACAAAATAACATTATATAGAAATGTTTTTCTCAGTATATACCATAATTTGAATCTATATTAACTTCCAAATAAAACGATGATATTAATAAAATAGACACACTACCCGCTAGTGTAAATTGTAGTTCATAGTTTATTGACGATTGACGAGTATTGTAAATGTTTTTTAACTACTGCTTCTATGGAGCGAAGGCTATTATTTATAATTTAATTGTTTTTAACCTATTTATTGTATGCTATTTTTAATTTAAAACTTTATTATCTTGTAAATTCTGATACATAATGATTTAGTTTTACCAGTTATAACAGATTTTATAACAGTTACTGTTTTGTGTATTAATTTAATGTAATATTGATTGTCAGTAATAGATATTAAAATAATTTTTCGTTTACTACTATACTACACTAATAAGTGGACGATGGTATATTATACTATTTTCACTATTCTTTTTTTTATTGATAAGAAATAATATTTTATAACTGATAATAGGAACCGGTACCAAAATTATCTGGAACCGGTACTTTTATTAATTTTCATCATACAACCGGAACAGTTATTTTATTTTCTGAGAACCAGTACCGGAACCGATACCTATAAATTCAAAGGTTCCAGTTCCTGGCTTGAAGGTCCAAGGCTGGAGCCTAGGGGTTTGAAGTGTCTCAAATTTATAAAATATCCTAAGTTTACAATTATTTATTTTTTTACAAAATATTAAAATTTGCTTTTAATAAAAATAATGATGTTTTAATAAAGAAAAGAAAAACTGATGTTTTCGTCCACATATGGCATGGATGGATAGGGTTTAAATAAATCATGACAAATTTTGAATGTAAAAATGGACTGTATATAATTGAGATAAATGACTATATGATAATACATTTTAAAATTATAATAAACTAAATAACTGAATAAAGGTTTATACAGTATGTATAACAGATTCAAAAAAATGATTAATTTTTACTGATATGGTTATTAAGTTTATTAATAGCTAATAATAATTTATGCTATAAAAAATATATGTATCGGGTGTGTATTATAATTTATGTAATTAAAAGTTTCCAATATATATTAAGCCCTGGGGTCTCACATAACCTTCTAAAAGTACTGTTATTACGAATCTTTAATCTTTTGTAAATGGTAGCTTTTAAAAATTACTATCCAAAAAAAATTATTTACCGGGTCTCCTCTACTACTGATAATTTATTATAAAAAATTTGCTAAATGACCAATTGTTAAGTGGCTACACTGACTACTGAGTAGAATCTAACATGTATAATATAAGTGACTACCTTCATTATGTATTTTCAAAACGTAAGCAGTAAAGTGGAATAACCAATAACAAATTATTTATCACAGCCGGCATATGGATAACAGTTCAAATGTATATTGTGAATAAATGACAATTATTATTATAATCCAAATTATGTTATTTGTTGATTAAACTATAATACTTATTAGTGTTTTTAATTTTTATTAATAATTTCAATACAAATTATTGAATGAATGTTTTAAGTTAGGATTCAAGAAGTCAGTTTTTTTTAATACAATATTTTTTTTTATTATAAATAAATATTGTTTATAGCAATGTCTAAATTAGATTCTAATGATGATGGTTCTACTTGGCCTTGGTATTACAATGAATTAAGTAAGTATTAATTAATACTTTTTCGTTTATCAATTGTATCAGTCGCAGGTTAGGTTAGTATAAGTTCTATATTACTAAGTCGTGAGCAATACATTTGTTATATATATTATTTTAGTTATTATTATATTATTGTATTAAAAAGTTAATCAATTTCAATTTTAAAATTAATTTTTTCGAGAGATTTTTTTTAAACGTTAGTTTTATATATTTATTTTAGTATTTTCTAGTTGATTTTAATAAATTTTTGAATTTTTAGTTTAAAGGTATCCTCAGATTAATTACATTTTAAGTTATAATATAAAAAGTTGAATTAACTGATATTCTTCTTTCTTTTTATAAACGCTAACGTTCCTAATAACGTGGAAACTCTCTGTGATCAGTGCCATGTATATACTAGTGCTCAGACTAGGATCATTGACCTGTATGATATTATCTCGAGTTCAAGGGCAATATTTTGCGGCTTATCTATTGCACATGTGTTTTATATTTTTGAATATTTGTAATAAAATTAAAATATATAATTAAAAAAAAATGGAAACTTTTTTTATTTACAGAGCACCTTTTTTTTTTATATAATTTTGTTTTCAACTTGCGACAATGGCTAGTTTTTTAGTTACAAGATAATCGGCCTCTTGTATAGCCTATATCTTGCCAATCGTTACTATGGCGGAATGAAAAGATTTAGAAAAAATTATCGACAGCGGCGGCGTATTTGTGGGGGGGGGGGGAAGGTTTCCACCCTCAGAAAATTTCCCGACCTTAAATTTTTAAATTTCGATCAATTTGAATTTTGTTAATTTTTGTAAATTCGAATGAAGGAAAAATTTTACATATTTTATAAAGACTAATAAAACCGGGTTACGATAATATTGGTGTTTTCAACTGTGTAAGTCGAAACAAAATCTTCATAAGCTAAAGCCTATTGCTATAGCCTGTAGTTCGCAAAAAATTGTTGTCTACTAATTGTGGAGATAGATGAAGATTTATCATTATTACTATATCTACTGCTCATTCTATCGATCGTTATTTAATAATAATTTAATAATGATTAGATATTCTTGATAGCCAAATTTTATTCGTGTTATTCTCATGTTATTCATGTTATCATGTTATATGTATATATATTTTATTATAATATTTTTAATTTTTATAATTTTACTATAATTTTCGTAATCAACTAAAAATTAAATTAATAATACATATGTATATATAATTTCATGTTTTCAACAAAAAGACAATAAAACAGATAAAAATTTAATTTTAATTATTTTATTTTGATTTATAAAAAACAATATATGATGACACTCCCGTCCCCAAATTGTTTGTAAATACGCCACTGATCTACTGTCAGAGCTGGTGAGGGGGGGGGGGTAGTGAGGGCTAAAGGGGTCGTACCTCTGAGAGGGCCTGATGTCTCATCCTTTTATACAAAATTATATTATTATCCCATTCGCCATAGCATTAGATGCAAATTTGAATATTTTTATTATACTAAAAAATGTAGAAGTATGTATATCCTGACCAAACAAGTGTAAGTAAAGGTGACTTGGAACCTATCAGCCTTGGGGCCCTCAAAAGTTCTCACCAGCTCTGTCTATAGGTTCACTATGGGTTCGAACTTCGATATCTTTTTCGAAATTTATTTAAATCATGTTTTTAAAATATTTGCTTTTATACATATAAAATTTTATAAAAAACTATGGGCTGAGGTCTGTGAAACCCCTATCAAAAATTTCTCTCGATTTGTTATGAAATACCACTTCAGGTTGATTTTTAAACCTAAAACTAATACGATTCTAAAATTTTAAATAAGGATTCAATATCTAATCGGTTCCCAACCCATGGACCGCAGACAACGCGGAAATAGGTCGTGGACCATCATGACTAACGTCTATATTTCTGGTTAAAATAATATTATTAAATATTTTTATTATATAATAATTTTTCTGGTTATAATAGAATTAATAACACTATCCAGAAATTTCCAAAATAGAATAAAGAAACTTTATGGGCTTTTCGACTACCTGTGTGAAAAAATATATAAGTAAAGGAAATAAACTGAATGTTGAGAGTGATTTATGGCTAACTCTATCCAGTTTTAATCCAGATATTGACTATCTCGGAGACAAGCAATGTCAAATATCTCATTAAATTGTTTAAATCGTGCTTTATTAGATTCAATAAAGTTTTTTTTTTTTTTTAATAAAAAATTGTTTTAATTATTTTTGTAGTTACTGATGTAAGTGCGCATTATTATTACAAGCGCGTACACAAGAAGGATGAGGGGTTCAAGCTCTCCCCCACCCCTCGAAATTCACGAACATTATAGAATATGTTTTTATAGAGTAAAAGTGGTTTTTAGATTATATAAGTATGAAAATGTACAACCTAAAACCCTATTTGTGGTCCTCAAAGATTTTTTTACGATATTGATGATCCCATAGATAAAATGTTTGGGAACTGCTTTTCTAACAAATTGATTCTTCTGCCTAAATGTTTCCACTCACCCATAATATTAATTATTTAAAGAGCTTTATATTGGCTATATAAAAAACCTATAAAGAATGCATTTAAATTATGCAAATTTTCAAATAGAAGTAGGATAGCCCCAAAAAAATAATTAATGTTTCTGATTTTTTTTTTTTTTACTTTTTTTAACTTGGCAAAGTGCTTGGATTTCGTACAAAATTATCCATAAATTATCAAAAAAATTATTATCCTAATTAAAATATTCCAAAAATTATGTTATCCACATATTTTAATTGATATTGTTCAATCCTCAATATAAGTATAACTTGTAATTATAATTTAACTATGTAATCTGTATATATCAAAGTTTTCTTTTAAAGTACTAGTTCCGTAAATACAATAAATAGAAATAAAAAAAATAAAAATAAACAACTTTTTTACTGTACATCATTCATGTTATACAAAAATTAGATGATTTATTGTATTTATATCTTTCTAAGTTGATTGTAATAATTATAAAGTGTTTTGTTAAATAACTGTACCTTATTAAAGTCTTTTAGCAAATCTCTAATAGTTAAAATTAGGGAAAGATAACAATTATTTGTTTGAAAATAATTTGTTATTTAAATGAACAAAATAAAATACTCAAGATGTCAACATTTTATAGTTAGTTAAATTCACTTAAATAACAAATTTATTTTGAAAATTTGATAAATGGTTATAGTAAGTTTAAAATTTATAATTGGTATAGTAAATTTAAAGTTTTATAACTGAATACATTATTTTAAAAATTGTTTTATAGGATTATTAAAAAAAAAAAAGGAGCTAAATATTGTACCAGAATATTTGCATTTTTGTGTTATACTTATTTATTATCTGTACATATTTATTCGCTTTAGGGTTTATATCAAAAAAAATTTAATTGAGTACTCAATTAAGAGATCTAATTATATTTTAAGAAAATAATATTAATGTTAGTAATTTATTTATATTGCAGAAATGATGGATGTATTAGTTGAACCTAAAGATGAATTACTTAGAGTAAGTATTTATTAAATAAATAGTATATTCAATTTGTAAAATTAATATTATTTACTTAAAAATAGTTATTTATATTTTATATGAACATATTTATAATGATAATCTAGCCTTTTTAAGTTATCCCATTCAATTATTTAAAAATATCTTATATTTTTATATTAACTTAATATAAAAGTAAAATAATATTAATTTACTTTTTTATAAAAAATATATTCATGAAAATATTGGTGATTAATATTACAATATATTATATATTTTATCTACCTTAGTAGACTTAAATTTAATATCATTAATTTTGAAATATTTCAAGTAGTATTTTATGGTATACATCTTATATTATTACATAAATATTATACATAATATTAATAGTTATAACTTCCAATGATCATTATTGTATTTTTTTGGATTATGAACCTTTGTATTTTTTAATATATAGTTTTTCATTTAAATTTTATTTTATAATTTGAATTAACGTGTTTAATTAAAGTAATGTTAAAGGATGATTACATTTAAATAGCATAAAATATAAAAATTTGATAACTTTTATTTATATTTTTAATTTGTTATTGTTATTACATAGTTTGATGAGTTGAAGGTAGAACCATTTTCTCAATATTATGGAGATGACTTAAAATTTAATTCAGAAATCAATGATCTCAACAATGATTTAACAATGCAATGGAACATCGAATCTTGTTTTGGAAATGGTAATATTATTTTAAATTTACTTTAAATAACAGTAAAATTAAACATTTTTAAACTATAGGTATTGATTTGGAACAAAATGATTTATCTCCTCCATCATCTCCTTCATCTAGTGGATCAACACCTAGTGGTGATTCTCAATCTTCATTTGATTCAAATCAAGTTAGTATTTACTTATAAAAATTTTTAATATAATTAACATGTTTATTATCTTATACTATTTAAATAGGTATCGTCAAGAATATTATCACCAAATATAAGTTACGAGAATAATATTAGAAATGTTTGTACTACCAATACTGTAATAGCCCCAAAATGTATAAATCAAAACGAAAAAAATTCAAAACTGAAAATATTACCAGCTCCAATTAAACCAGCATTAAATACTCATAGTTCTTCTAATACCAATAATTCTTTATTATATAATAATTGTAAGTATTATATTTATGAATAATATTTTAATTACATTGTTTTATTTGTGTATTCAATATTAATAGAATATTTTTTTATTATAAGTTAATGTTTCTTCAATGCTGACTGATCAAACAAATCAATCATCAATTACAGTTTCAAAATCTTTTGGTAATAAAATATCAATTACATATAAATAATATAAATGCAATAACTATTTAAATATTTTTATTTTTATAATATAGTATTTTTACTAATTATTATGGTAAAATAATAACTTGTTTTTAAATTTTATCAACAGTTCCAAGAAAAATTATACTTACTCCTGATCAATTTTCAAAAATAACCAAATTACAAAAACAGAAACAAGCTGATTTACGCATATCAACCGTACCACTAGTATCAAGTACATCATCAGAAGTAAATACTCGATTATCATTGCCAGTTGTAGAAGTTGATCCAATAAAATCTAGATGTAATTCTTCTACCACTTTACAATATAATCAAGTATTAAATTTATTATTTATTTAATATAAATTAATTGTATATTGAAATTATAATTAAATTTTAATAGATCAGTGCAATAAAACGCCATCAACGAATGATAAGAAATCGAGAAGCAGCAAGTTTATCTCGTAAAAAGAAAAAAGAATATTTAACATCTTTAGAAGAAAAAATAAGCATACTACATAAAGAAAATTTAGAACTAAAAATTGTAAGATACTTAAAATCATTTTAAAAAACACAAAATAATAATTATTTTGCATATAGCATAAATACTATATTATTATTGTATTTTATTTAGGAAAATTCAGCATTAAAAGAAAGGCTTAAAATTTTTGATAAATTATCTTCAATGACCGATAGACCTTTAATCAAAAGAGTAAAAAAGGCTACAGCTATACTATCTGTAGTTTTAATGATTTCCTTAAATGTTGCACCTTTAGGGTAATTTTTTTTTTTTTTTAATTAATTTTTTTTATTTAATCACTATTCAATTTTTAGACTTTTTAATTCAAGGCAAATTGATAATTCCATGATAAAAATGAATTTGGGTAAAAATTTCAAAACAAAAAGTATTGAAAACTTAAATTTTCAAAGTAGAAATTTGTTGTGGTCAAGTGATTTCGAAGACATCAATTCAACATTAAATATTACCGAGCATCTGATGTGCCCAACTTTCATAAACATTTCAGAATCAAAAAGGTATTGGAAAATAAGTAATAACTACTATGCAATTAAGCATGTTGAAATTTTTAATATATAGTTTTTATATAATTTAATAATCTAAGTAATATATTTGTATAGAGTAACTACATTATTTTATACATTAAACATATACTAGGTATATCTGGACTGTAATAACAACATAGTCATGTAAAGCAAAAAAGGTGATTTGCAAGTCATCATATTAATGATATTAAATTGATAACAGCTATACCAATATCATGATTATATAATAATTAATATTTGTAATAGTTAGATTTTGTTTTTAAAACAAACAAAACTTAAAAGTACTCATAAATTTCCAATTATTCATTGTTATAAAGTGTATTATGTTAGTAAGAGATAGATATTAGACAACTAATAGGTGTTTCCCTATTTTGTCAAATGTCTAAATCGCCATACATCCTTGTAGATATATTATAAAAAGATAAAAGTAAATAAATATAATTTATATATTTGTATTAATCAAACTTGTAAGAGCATGAATTAAACTTACAAATTTTAAATAAAATAACAGAAATTTTAATTACATTTAAATTGTAAACATTTTTAAATAATTTTTTAATATATTCTTTAAATCCAACCAACCCAATTAAAATTTCAGAATTGATAGTGAATTGCGAAAATGGATTGAACCAAGGAATTTGAAGCTGTTGAATGATAACTTATCAATGGTTTATGTTGAACCAAAAATTATTAGTACTAATATTGAACAAGCTAAAAATAATGAATATGTTGCAAAGAAAGATAAAAAAATGGATACAATTCCAAAAAGAAATTTTAAGTAAGTGTATTCAATTTTAAGTTGTGCATTTATTTAAAATAGAATATATATAAATAATTTTAATTTATATTTTATATCACTTACAAATTAATTTTTTGTTAATTCATATAAATATATTATTATTGAACTTTTAGAAAAAGAAAGCATATTCCCTCAAGTAATGATTTCATAGAAATATTTGGGCACTTGAAATTAAATAGCAAAGAAAGTTTATTTGACTCCATTGAAAGGCAAGATGATACATTTTATGTTGTATCATTTTCTGGGGATCATTTACTATTACCACCCAGCCACAATGCTTCTAATACTACCATTCGACCAAAAATGTCACTTGTTTTTCCTACTTTATCATCAAATGGTAAGAATTTTGTGTAATAAATTGTACTTAAAATGTTTAGACCATGTATGTTATAATTGTTGTATACGGTATATGTTATGTGCATTATTATCAAATCAGAAGCAAAAACATTATTTAAAAAAAATGTCTTATCCATTAATAATTAGAGTGAAATGTACTATTCATTTTAACCAAATATAAATAATTAAGTCTTTAGATATATGATTAAAATGTTAATAGTATTTTGAAAAAATCCATCCATTTTTATTTTTATAAATATCAACAAACTTATTAAAAATCATTTTTGGATCATTGAATATTATTCTTTAGTATTATATATCCTTTGAAATTACCAAATTTGAAGATACCTACCAATATTTTATAATATCATATTTTGTAAAAAAAATAATCATATAACATATTTGTACATGTATTTTAGGTTCAGATTTTGTCACTATGATTCAAATTGATTGTGCTGTAACTGATACTAAAACATTACAGATACGAGATATTCATTTAAGACATAATGATTTTAAAAATAACATTTCTTCTAATTCAAAACAACATCATGGTATTCATTTTTTTATTACATTAACTTTAATTATATTCTTTTGGTTTATGTGATTAGTTTTTAATAATGTTTTATTTGTAGATCATAGAAACAATATAGCACACAAACCCTATTTTGTACAAAAAAACTATCGTGGTTCAATGTTTAGTAAAATGAATCAAGAACTTCCAAGTTACTAAATATTTCTAAATTTAATACACTGTCTTATCAAATTCAAGGACCATACATCAAGTCTCAAATTGCTATGACTATGAAATGCAATTTTTACTCCATAAGTATAATTTTAATTTTATATTGTTAAAATGTATCCATACTAGTATTGAATTCTTTAAAATTTGGTATTCAATTTTGGAGAAAAAAAAGTATCAAAATATTTTTTACATGTTAATTATTATTTAATAATATTAAATTGTAAACTATATTATAATAACATTATTATTTTTATAAATTAATTTAAAATTGTTCTAGAATCAAAAGTAATATTACACATTTTATGGGTTTTAAATTGTTTATGACAATTCGTACGTAAAGGTAAATTTAACATGTTAGTCCTTATTTCACGAAATATTAATTCTAACCTACTATAATATTACACATAATCTAATATTTACTATATATGTATTTGTTATATATGTTAATTAATTAGTTATAATTTCAAATCATAGATTGGTTTATAGTTAGATAATTTTCCTAAAACTTATTAATTAGTAGAAATAATTGAAGAGTAATAATTATAAACTAATTAAGTAGTATTTTTTAGCTTTTTTAATATATATTTATTATTATTATTTTATTATTAATGATCAAAATAAGATACTCATAATATTTTATTTACATTTTTTTTTAGATTAATGTTTTTAATAGATTAAATTAATTACATACATGGGTGACTTCACTTTAAGTTGGTAATATAGTTGGATTTTTTTTTTTAGTAATTTGTAAACATAAACATTTTTAAAAAGTCCATTTATGTTAGCACAGTTATGGTTCCTAAATTTTAAGAAAAATTCAAATTATTGAGAAAATCTGTTTTAAAATGTTGATATTCATAAATTTAATTTAAATTTTTTATTAGAACAATGAGGTATTACATTTTTTTGATCTAATCTCATAATTCTTTTATACATTTTTAATAAATCAGCGGATCTACCTCTTATATTAAAATATTGAGAATGTTAAATTTAATATAATTATTAATTTTTCATTTATAAATTATAAGCTTTTACTGTTTAAATGGGGTGTAATATGTACATTTTTTATGATATTGGCTGTATCGCTTAAAGTACCACTCTGTATTTTTTTCTATTGTTCCTTTTTAAAGTTTGTTTATGGTATATTTATTTGTTTTGGTTGTTATAAATAATATTTTATTACATTTATTTATTATTATTTTTCATTATTTTTCCTTTTAAATTTTATACAAACAATTGGTGTGATTTATGTTTATATGTATTAAACAATTTTTTTTTAAAAAAAACCTTTTTTAATATTTTTTTATGAAAACTATATATTATTGTTTTGAGCTTTGTTAATCATAATCACAAAAGAAACATAATGTGATATCAGTCTTCACCTCTAGTATACATTAATGAATATTGTAATGCATCATAAATCATAAGATCTATTAAATTCGGAAACTAGACGCAAGTGTCCGGTGTGTTGACTTTGTCGACTGTGCAGAACTATATCTTTGGGCAGTGAATATTTTATGAAATTTTCATTAGGCGACAAAAAAAATTTTCACGCATTCAATTAAAATTTATAAAATTAACATCAACAAACTATATTATGAACCTATAAAATAAAATAAAAAAATATTAGTGTTTAATATTCAAACCTTAAGAACTTTAATAGTATGATACAAACTTGTAATGTATATATTATCAGTGTTCAGAACGTTCAGTAAAAAATTGAACTCGTTCACGTTCAGTCCATAAAAAAAAGAACTCGTTCATGTTAATGTTAATTTTTTTAAAGCATATGCGGTCATGTTCGTTTTTCAAAAGACCTTTGAAACAAAGTAGTAAAAACAGTATGTGGACCCGTATATGATGATGTAGCAAATTTCTGGCGTAAAAAGAAAAATAGAGAGATAAGGGAAAGTACAAAAAAACCCGCTATAATAAGTTACATAAAAGGACTAAGGCTTAATTGGTTCGGTCACGTTAAACGGAGAGAAGCAACAAGTAAAGCTAGACCAACCATGAATTGGTAACCAAAAAGGAAAAAACCAAGGGGAGGCCAAAACGCTGGATAAATGGCATAAAGACGAAACGAGAAATTACAAAGTGAGAAGAGTTGATTAAGGATTGTAGAAGTTGGAGAGCATTGACAGTGGCGGCTAAAACTTACAGAGTCATAAAGCTATTGAGGATGGAGTCCATGTAAAAATCGCGAAAAGAACGAAATTATTTTCGTTAGTGGGAATACCTTGTCGCGAACCAACTAGTGACGCGACACACAATAATAATAATAATAATCACTGACACGATAGATGTGTGATGGTAATGGCTAAGGAGCCGTATATTTTACAAAAACGATCGCACGAATAATAATAATCACAATAGTATCGTCGAGAACACACGAGAATAATAATAATAAGAATAAGCCAATCAATAAGACAGCGAAAGTCGTAGTTCTTCGATGTCGTACGTGGGTGATGTGCGTTAGAGTGGCGATGCGAACGTACCAAAAGTTGACGAACAACAGTCCGTCGTTCCGACGACACTTGCCTTCGGCGGTGCCGATGCTCCGCTCTCCCCGTTCCTTAAGGAAGGTGCGGGGTGTGACGCGTCGGTATCGTGATCCGCGAACTATCGGCTGATTAGAAGACTATAAATACGATCGGCGGCGTCCGTTGTGGTGAACGGTCGTCGCCGGGTCCGCGTCAACCTTTATAATATAATAATACTAGATAATCAATAATGTAATTATGTACTTTAAAAGTCTTATAACTTATAACTATTACCGAGTTGTCCGTTGTCATATTCATACGTAATGCATTCGTAATGGAGTTTATTCAGTCAAAAAAACAAAAATGTATTAAAATATAATGGTTATTTGTATAGGTTTGACAAAAAATAAATCTACCGTTTATGGAGATGTAATGAAATCCTAATAAATCACGCTTTAATTTAAAAACCGAAGAAATCGTTAAATTATATAGTATTTTGGTTTTAATGTTATTTTAATGTTTATTATTACTTATTATATTATAAAGGTATATCTACTAATGAAAATAATTTCTTACTTTTCGTTAATGTTTTCTTCGCTGTTAAAATATTTCGCCATTTTAACTGGCACTCGTGAGAATAATGATAAAATAAATTTGAATGTCTCAAAAATCATTCAAATTCATTAAAAATATAAACATTGTTCATGTTCACGGTCAACCTAAAAAAGCCAGTGATGTTCGCGTGTCTTTCACAAAGTATAAATGTGAAGACGTGAAGGTATGTTCACGAACGACATTTTTTCCAAACACTGTATAGAATACAATATTCTATGACAATATCGTATGGGTTTTTCATTGTAGATATTCTGGTAATCAATATAATTTATGTTTCAACTTTAAATCATCAAAGGAAATGATAAACAAGTTACAAAATCAAGCATAGTGAACCATTGATAAATAACCTTTTAAAAATTAACATCTTAATTTTCACCAAAACAACGTTTTCGCCCAATAATTAAGTATAGGTATCATATTCTAGGTGACATGACGCCCAGTACCTATATTAGTTAAAATATGCACTGTCTCTGGAACCCTTATCTTCATTAACTAATAATACAGCTACTTCATCGATTATAGGTGCATTATATTAACCTCTATATAATCCTTGAAGAACTCGATCAGCTTGAATAATTAACTTTAATTTTCACAATTCATTAAAAGACCTTGACTTTAGATTATATATATACTGTTTACAATGATTCAATGAGATTTCTTTAAATTTGGAATCATACTTGTTCAAGTAGTTATTTGATTCGACTGGCATAAAATATATTTGTAAAAATGTAGAATTATTTCCAATTTCTAGTAATAAACTACCTGTCAAATGATACACCCTAAATTTTTAAAGTAGCCATGAAGTTCTTTTCATCTATTTTGTTTGCTCCAAACGATATAATTTGAAACGGAGTATTATACCGCCTAGAATTACCAAAGAAATGTTTTGATAGAGGGTGAGAATTATCAATTAAACTTTTAATTAGGTCCGAAGGATCCTCAAATTGGTGTAAAACAACTTTACTGCCAGCACAGCAAAGTCTATGGGTTTCATTTTTCTATTTTTTTGCATGGCAATTTGGACATAATGTAGTCATTAGTCCTATTTGAAGCGCTGGAAAATGTTAAAATTTAATTTAAAAAAAAATGTCAGATATAAAAATGTGAAAAAAATTATAAATTATGGTATACGATACCTTAGTTATGTAAATTATAATTATATAAAATTAGCTGATATTTGTTAACTGATCCAATAAAAAATTTAAAGTTGTTTCGTACTAGTGTTTTGTTTCCACGTTTACTTTCGATAACTTTAGATAAAGGTGATGTGGGTGCAGTGCTGCAATAACCAGGTATGTTCCGTGTGTCAAACACACGGGCCCATGACTCCAGCCTATAATAGGGCCCAATAATAATATTTGAAAAATATGTAAAAAGCAAGAAAATAAACAAATAAAAACAAAATAAATATTTTGTAATAATAATGGAGTTTGATCAATAATTGATTGAATTTTTTTTTTTTTTACATATCATACATCAATGTTTTTTTTTGCGGCCTATATAATCAAAATTCAAAATAGTTTGGTCACAATCAGTGTTGTGTTTTATCTAGATAGGTATATTTTTATCTTTTATCTTATACAGATAAATAAGAAATATGTTGTCTAAGCTATTATCTATGATAAATAATTAAAACATCCAAATAAATTTATCTAGATAACATTTTTAAATATTTATATTTAAATTATAATTAATGTTAATTAGGTATTTTACATTTTCCGATTACAAAATAGTAAATTTATATTTAAACATAATAGGTAAAAATTATTATTTTAACTATTACTTATAATAACATATATTATTTAAGGAAGATCTGGCTCAACTAATTAATGCTATGGATAAAACATTCGAAAAAGAGCTGGAATTAAGAATAAATATGAAGAAAACAAAAGTACTGGTATGTGAAAGGGAAAATAATACAAAAATACAGATAAATATACAAAATGAAACAATAGAACAAATAGATGAATTTACATACCTGGGAAACATAATCAGCAAGGATGGAAGAAACAGAAGTGAAATTATAAAACGTATCTGTCAAGCTAA